TGTCTCTCTCCCAAATCTGCGAACTGTATATCTCTCCTTTTCTGATCCGCCTGCTTCTTCATCATGTTGCGTGGTGCTCTTAAGTAATTCCTCTTTTGGCTCTATCCGAACACCTCCGTATCTCTTCTTGCAAATGGCTGATCTACTTGAGATACTGGAGTATACGTATGGCTGTTAGTTGCTGTATCCAATTGTGGGGTGGTGCCCTCCAACTATAACACCCAAAAGGTCCTAAGGATTCTAGCGATCCCGTGTCTCTTGGTCGATCGAGTAAAAGGTTCAACCGGTACAGAGTAGGAAGGAGGATTGATAGCCGTATTCTGCCCAATAGCTACGCAAATTGGCCCACTGCTTTGGTGTTTAAAGAACCACAAAAACACCTCAAGTTATGTCTCCAAAGCTCCTATTCACCACCTCTGTTTGCCCATCAGCGTGGATGGGTAGGCTGTGCTCTCTTCAAATGACTGTATCCGCTTGCCATCGCTGAATAGCTCCTCCAAAATGTGTTCTAGGAACCATTGTCAACCTATCCAAGAAAAGACAACTCGAACTTCGATGGCTATCACCCAGCTGCCAGTCGACCTATCTCCTCAAGCAAAATGCTGTTGCTACAGAACACCGCTGTAATATAAGTCAGGTATTTACGGGAATGAATAAGTGCTATCTTAGCTACAGTGACCTTGCTCGACCAACTTATCCAGGCGCAGTATAACTGAGTAGCCTTCTGATGTTTTGGCAGTCCCATCAATGAAAATCCATGTAATCTCCTCCCAACGAATCTTGCTGTGGGAGGTGCGCACACGAGATGTTTGATAATCCCCCTGGTGCCTCGTAATGCTAGACTCCACTGGCAGGTTATCACACTCTAGCCACCATATCTCCTCTATGTCTCTTCCTCATCCCCTCCAAGTACAATTTCAGCAGACTAACACGGCTATATAGTTTTCATGCACAACTCTGAATGTACCCCTCCTCATGTGCCTCTTCCATGAAATCTTTGTAGTCAGTTGGGGTAATATGAATTGAATGACCCTAGGAATACACATCCTTCCCTGCATCAGTAACACTAGTCTTTCTACCACAACTGATAGTCCTGGATTGTGAGTGCCATGTATTTCATCTGAATAGCTACCTCTATCTTTGATGTTCTCCTTAGCACTCCTTCTCATTTTGGATGCTCTCCTCTTTTGAATGCTGCCACCAAATCTTATCAGAACAAGGTACTCGATACTTAGCATCCCCTGGAGCCCCACTCATTTTACAGGGTGATAAGCATCCTGCCTTATTCTCTAGTCCTGGTATAGTGGAATCTAAAATCAATTATCCAGGTCGCTTTGTGATAACCACTCGTCTGAATGCTTCCTCAGTGTGACCATACCTCTTTGCTCCAAATAAAGTTTATACTTTTCTTAGGCTCCTCTGATCAGTTTGCACAATAAAGTGTCTGCCCAATAATAAGATCTCCACTTCTTGGACTGGCAGTACATAGTCATCAGCTCTCTCTATATGACGACTTCTAGCCTAGCCCGGGACGAAAGTTACCTGACTGAAGTAAGCTAGGATTGTTCTGCGGTTTAATGTTCATCAACACTCGCTCCCAATCCATAGCCTGACAGCTCTTATCTCCCAACCACAAATCCCTCGATTGAAGTCTTGGCAGATGCAAGCACGCTGGCACCGCGAGTCTATGGCTTCTTGAGCTTCTCATTAAAGCCTCAAGAAGCTGCTTCCCGCCATAAAAAATTATCCTTCTTCAACTGCACTGTCAGTGTTGTGCCTGCATGGTGGTATAGTGCTCTTAGTCTCTCACGAACCATCCTGTGTAGGCACAGGTCTAGTCCCAAATAATCCTCTGAGCCCCTTCAATGGTCTTGGTGGTTATGAGGGCCAGGCAGCATTGCCTCCTATCTCTGGACTGATCTGGCAGCCAATCCTCCCTGGGATACTCACGTTGCACCCGAGGTACTCCACTTGTGCTAAGCAAGTCGCACTTCTTTGAAATTGGCCTTCAGCTGATAGCTCCCTTAGCACCGCCAACACCACTCTCAGGTGCTCCTATTGGTGTTCTCCTCAGTCCTGCTATAAGATGAAGAAGTCGTATCAAAATAATTACACACCAACCTGCGAAAGGCGGTTGGCTTGATAAATTCGGTTTCATCAATGCCGTGTTTGATATGTGGCTGGTGCATGCTGAGGCCAGAACAAGGCAATTCAACCAGAAACTCGTAGAGTGGCCTCATGATGTCTGAGAGGCCGAACTTGCTAGCACATCTTCCTTCTCTCAATCTGATCTGGTTGAGCCTGATTCAGATCATCTTGGGTGAATAAAGCAGCTCATGTAGCTGCATCCATCAAACTCGTCAAATCACAGGGATGGGAAATTTATCAGGCACCGTCTACCTTGTTTGAGAGCTC